GACTTCTTTGATCCAATTAGATCTAGATCTTTGATACCAATAGACCTCCTCCATCATAAGAAAATCACACATTTGATCCTTTAAAATCAATCTCTGAGTTCTCTCCTCCTCTGTCAGGATCTTTGATACCAATAGACCTCCTCCATCATAAGAAAATCACACATTTGATCCTTTAAAATCAATCTCTGAGTTCGCTCCTCCTCTGTCAGCCCTCTATTTTGTTCCTCCAATTGATAGATATAGTCAATTTGATGTGAGATCGATAAAATATTATGGGATAGTTGCCCAAATCTCTCCCTTTTTCAAGCTTTAAGTCTAAGTTTTAGGGCTTTAAGTTTTAAGCAAGGACATAACCCGGCCATCCAATAGAACATTGTGCCAGCCATTAATAACCACCCGCCTCAAGGACTTATCTTGTAGCTACATCAACTCAAGTCTAGAGGGGATAGGCCCATACTCCTCCCCTCAGTATCTAATAGAATAGCACATGATGCAAGGACCATTCCCTCAATGACTTAATCTTCATCAAGCCTCTTAGCTTGATTTTAGAGAGATGAGAGATGAATATGAAGAGTCTTAATCTTCATCATGCCTCTTAGCTTGATTTTAGAGAGATGAGAGATGAATATGAAGAGAGAGGGAGAAATCTACTTGCAAGGGGTTCCACCCCTTTGCCACCCACAAAGAATAGAAGTGGTGTGTGCCACCAAAACATAGTGCAACTTAGAGAAAGATAAAATTGGGGTATGCCTCCTTTTTGGAAAAGAGGGGAATTTTGGATAGGGAGAGAGAATGGTTAAAGAGAGAGAAGACAATACATATCTTATTTTATGAAAGAACACCTCCTTTTATAAATTTTATCTGCCATAGATTTTGCCTCAATTCGTAGGGTCAAATCTCAACCGTCAACGTAAGGAGACTTGTGGGGTGAGAGATTTGAGCCATCAATCTCTTTGATCCACCATTAAAATTCAAAGAGATGAGCTAGAGTCTTATCCACTCTTTTCTAAATCTATTCCCATCAAATAAAGAAAGCTTATATTTTAATATATCAAATCCTTATTTATTTGATCAATCAATCTTGATTCAAAGAATCAGTAAATATCTCAAATATTAAACATTATCACATATGTTGGTTATACCTAAAAAGATAAACCAACCAAGAGGATAAAGATTGTCCCTAAGAATGTTACGTGGATGGGTGGGGTGTACCACCCTTTTGGTAGTTTGTTGGGGTGTGCCACCCTTGTGGCACTTAATATTTGTTGTTTAGTAGTTTCACTCATATGAAAATCCCACCAGTCTCTTAGCCATCCAGTAAAGCTACAAATAATGGCTTTGGCAATTTCTTGGTCATGGCTTCTAGCGACCTTACAAGCTGTAGCATACATAGTTATATGTTTCATTGTCTCCAATATCTGATGGTCGGACAAACCGTCCATATTCCAATTAACAATTGTCCTTCCTGAGTATGATACAGTGCTTGATATCAAATTTTTTTCAAACTGTATATCTACAGGAGTAGGCCTAGAATGATACATTCTTGTATGAGAAGGAGGCTTAAACTTTTTCTCATAATCTATTCTATTAATATTTAGATTAGTCTCTATGAAGGCCTTTTCCATAACCTGTATTTTTTCATTAGCCAAGTCTTCTTGCAAGACCATGCTTCTGATTCTACTATGACCCATTTTTCCCTTTTTATCTTCTTTTATGTTTAGCTTTGACAGTTTCTTGACTAATTCATCAATCAATTATTTGTTTTCTTCCTTCTTCTTAGCTCTTTCTAAGCTAAAGCTTCCTGTATTAATTTCTGAAGGGGGTTTAAACAATACAGCCTTCTTCTTCTCATCATCCTTTTGAACGGTCCTAGATTTATTTAATGTGTTTTCAATTCTAGTGGTTTGTTTACCAATAGACTGTAGATACAAATCGGTATAGTTATTTTGTTCAATTATGGGTGGAATTACATATATCTTTATGACTATGATGTTCATTTTCTTTGGGAATTATTTTATATGGAGAGGCCTTGGTTTTAGGCTTATCTTTTAATGTCCCTTTTAAATATAAAGTTTTCTCAAGAGGGTGAATACTTACTTCTTTTCCTTCAAGGGTATGAAAAGTTTGGTACTGGCTTTCTATGGTATTAAGTTCAAAATTAGGAATTGGGATTTCTTTTTCTTTAAGAGTAACTCTTAGCCATATAAAAAATCCTATATTTTGCTTAATCTTTTTGATATATTTATTATATCTTTTATGAAGAGCATCAAGCATTTCCTGGGGGAATTCTGCCAGATACCAATGTCTTATATTTTTATTTTCCTCGAAGAGATAATCTCTTTGGAGTAAGTTCTTATCCATTTTGAATTTTTCTTCCTTTTGGAGAGTTAGGATACTAAAATCAAGACCTGCATATGCTGGATCTTTTCCTGATGGGCTCAGGTCAACCATTTTGTAAACAGGAATATGAATGTCACTATTTGTTCTGGTTAATCCTTGAATTATAGGTCTTTCTTGTATAGAAGAGGTAGAATGCCTAGATGGCGTAGGGATTCTATAGGGAGGTTCATCATTCAAGTTTAACCTTGTTCTTCTATTGGGATTGAACTGAATCTCAATATTTCCATCAGGGTGTTCTATTATTTGATCAGGTTTTCGATTGACTGGAGTCCGATACTGCTTATTCTCATTTTGTATGGACCAGTTTTCAGGAAGTGTTATTTGAGACCATGTTATAGCCTTTAGAATAACCGTATTCGATTTTTCTACATTGGTATCAGAGCCAAGAGACTAAATTATTAGACGATAATGTTATCCTAAAAGTTAACAACCCAATAAAATTTACCACTTAGAAATAAGTCCGAGAGTTGAGACCAAAATCATAGTAGCCCTCGCCAAAGTTAGGCCAAGAGAGCCGTGGAAAGGCACAGTGGCCTAAATCTATTTACTCGTGTACTCATCCGTTATTTCAAGAAAGGAATTTTACTAAGACGTTATCCAATCTGACGGCATCATCATAGAATCAAAAACAAAGAAGAGATAATCATCGATAATATAGAAAAACAAATACAGAATTGGAACATCCCAAGAGTTCCTATTACAGATATTTATAAAAAGGGTACCTTTGAATTTAAAACAAGTTATGCAATAAAAACAGTTGAACAAAGCATATCAGTAGATAATGAATAAGAAAGCTTGAAATTATCATTTGAAAAGATGATTCAAAAACATAAAATAAAAGAATATAAGTATCTACATATAGGTTTAATACAAATTGCAGTCAAACCGCTAACACGACTAGGACTTAATAATTCCATATTACTATGTCCTAGAGACAGCCGACACAATAAATTTTCAGATTCCCTCTTAGGGGTTGTTGAATCGAGCTTGTGTAATGGTCCAATATACTTCAACTGTTTTCCCAACTTTTCGGTTTCTTTAACCGACCCTAACCTTCTTAAAGCTCTTACCTTAAACTTAAAAACCCAAGGGTTTGATATGAATCCTGGTTCCCAAAACATATCCCTAATATACAGACTATGCTATAAGGTAATGAATACCTAAAGCCCGAATGTTCTACATATGGATAGCAATGTAACCCAAGACCTATTTGACCATTAGCATATATGAAAGTATCTTATATTACATAAATATAT